TCTGACACCTCATAACGTACCATGACTCTTTGTTGCCTTCCTGTCAGGTGTTCTCTGATCCAGTACCTGCCTGATTTTCTAGCATTTGCACTAATCTCTTGTCTGGTACTGACTCAAGAAGCTTTTTACAATCCAAGAAAATGTAATCTATCCACCACCTTCTCTTTTGCCTTACTTCCATTACCTTGTCGTAAAACTCCAATAGGAGTGTGACGGGATTTCCCTTCCTTGAAACCATGCTGGTTGTCATATATAGGCTCAGTCCTTTCTGATAATCTTCTCCATGACTTTGCATACTATTCTTGTCACTGGCACTGGTCTGTAATTTAATGCATCATGCTGTTCTCCTTTCTTAAAAATTCCACATCTCAGGTAGACTCCTTCTTTCGATAGATGCGTTTGAGATTGTTGTTAGTGGCACATACAGCATCTCTGTTTCCTCTTTCAGGACTCACAAAGAGAGATGTTTTCTGGTCCTACCATCTTTGAGGCATCTATTTAACTCAGCAGCCTCTTCACCTCCTCCTCCTCCTCCTCCTCGCTTGTGTGTATTGTGTCCAGCACTTGTTGGTGTACCCCACCATTCCGGCTTTTTGGAGTCCTGTCTACACTGAAAATATTTCTTTAAATCTCATATTAAACTCTTCACATACTTCTTGGCCGTTTCTTGTGATCTTCCCTCCTTCTTTCCTCAGCCTGGTCCTTGACTGTTGTTTCCCTCCTGATGTGGCTGTAAAACAGCTTCGGGTCAGACTTTTTCAATGCAATGTCATCTTAATTAACATTACTGCTGGGCCTCCCTCCATATCTCTGCATATTCGTTTCTCTTTGACTAATCTCCTTAGTTTCATGGGTACTTTATCTTCCATACTTTTCTCATTCTCTAGCGCACTTAGTTGTAGTCTCTCTGCACCTTTGGATGAATCAAGGGTTCATTCAGGGCTTCCCATTATTTATATTGCCCTTGGGTATGAACTTCTCCTCTGCCTCCTTTCATTTCGTTGTCTCGTATTCCAGCATTTCATTTACTTATTTTCCCACCAGTTCTCTTTCCAAGGACCAGTATTGCTGGTTCTCTCTCCGGTAGTGTCCCTAACTGTGGCATGCAAAGAGTACGTAACCTTTATTCGGCGCATGTGCACACCCTCATTGAAAGGTTGTCTCCCCCAACCAACGAACCAGGTACTAAGGGTTGATGAGGGAGCCCCATCGTTCAATCAGTACCCAGGTTCCAGCCAATGAGAAGATGGTTTTGGCAATCGCAGAGGTGTTGTGGGTATCACACACCTGTCTGCCCTTGTCATTCCCATTCTAGAGCTGGTTGAAGCACGGTCTTCTCTCTAGTGGCTTCTATTCTGCCTTGCTTACCGAGGAGTGCACTAATACATAGTGTTGTACATAGTGTATGTAGTGTACTTCTGTTCTAAATTGGTGAAGACTAATACAAGTCAAAAGTTTTTCTGCTGTGTTTATTTTGCTCTCTTTACACCCAGGATAACGGGTCTTTAGGATTCCTGGGTTGTAATACTAACGTGGTGATTAATGAGGTTTTCAGGTACTGCCTCCATCATCTTAGTCCTCTACATTTCTGGTCCCCCGTGTGGCTCCAGGTTTACCCCGTTAGTTTCATTGTGGTTGAAATCACCCATAACTAGCAACTTTGCCCTGCCCACATGGGCCCTTCAGGCCACCTCAGCTAGTTCATCAACCATTCCTCTGTTGCTGTCCCATATTTTTGTCTTGGCCTTTTGCTATTCTGTTTTGGGTTACACATCACTGCAATCACCACCTTGGGACTGCCAGTCTGAAGTGAAACAGGGTGCAAACAGGCCATTGTTTCCCCTCTGTCCCCTGCTTCCAACTCCTCAAAACTCCATTGGTTTTTGATGAGCAGTACAATTCCTCCACCCCCTCTATTTCATTTATCTTTTCTCTGGATTTGGTATCCAGTTGGAAAGATTGCATCTGTTATCATTCCTGTGAGTTTGGTCTCTGTGAGAGCTATGCTGTCTGGTGATGCCTCTGTGATTCTTTCTTGCTACTCCTCGCACTTGTTATTCCATCTGCATTGGTGTACCACACCTTCAGCTTCTTTTCCAACATTGTATTCTAGGGGGTTTGTGGGGGGATGGGGGAGTGGGAGACCTGGCAGGGTGTAATGGAAGTCTGCTGTGTAAGGTGGAGCTGGGTATGTGAGTGTGAAGTGTGGTTTCTTTTGGGATAATATATATGGTTGTAGGGCTCTGTGGGTGGTTTTGTTGGTGGTTGTGCATAGTACTCCTCCCTACTCTGTCCCCTCCTGACTAGCATTTTCTATCATTCTTGCCCCTTTCGTCTTTGTATCCTTTCTCTTAGTTTCTGTGGTTCTGTTATCGTTATGTCGCGATCAAGATTCACCATCAGGTATTTTGCTGTTTCCTTTACCCATGGTTTCAACTGTAGGATCCTGTTCCTCACTGAGCCAGTCTTGCAAATCAGTTTAACTGGCTGAGTTCTTTCCCTCGAGTATCCACCTATTCTCTGAAAATTTATCAACTAAGTCAAGTCCTCTTCTGTTTAATGATATTTTCAATATCTCTTTTTTCTCTTTCAGTCGTCTTTCTTTGTACGCCCTCCCTCCGATCTTCTCATACCTATGAATAAAAACTGACCTCTCCCTCTCATCTTCCATTTGCTTTTCCATCCGCACCTCTAGTTTCCATTTAAACATAGCCGTTGTTGCTTTCCTTATCATTTCCTGGCACTCCTGGTGGCCTGGTCGCGCCTCTGCAGGAAGCCGCTCACCTTCTATACCTGCCCTTATGTCCCTTCCATTCTGTGGTTCTGGATCTTACTTCAGCATTTTCATTTTATCTACGTTTTGTAACTCAACATAAAACAATCTGAGTAACTCAATATGAAATAATCAGAGTAACTCAATATGAAATAATCAGAGTAACTCAACATAAAACAGATTCAATCACTTATAAACCTAGTTACTCACCATAAAACAGTTATTCATCACACAGAGAGAGATACTCACCATAAAACAATGAGAACTCTTGCGACAATCGACGTCTCTCTCTCCACTCACTGAAGTCAACTGTAAAAAAATAATTAGAATTGAAAATCCTACGTGTTTTAAACACTGAACATTAACTTCTGTCGAGCATTTCACATATACTAAACACTACTTACCTTGAACACACGACGTACACAAGGAGGTTGCAGATTGTGTCTCATCAAAGTATCTTTTGGATCTTGTCGGAGAGATAGACTCCCCACACTCCATGACAGTAAGTACCTATTAACAGTATCATTAACAGCGCATTTCTTGTACGTTGTGGGGTGACAAGTGTGAGGGGTCTTACTATGGCCTCCAGCTTACCAGACATACAACTGTCTACAATTGGCTTACTACACTGCCCTATGTGAACTAGAGGTAAGAATTCAGTCATCTAAAAATGGGATGGGAGGTTTCTGGGAAGAATTCTACTAATGGTTTGACTGGACCACTAACTTAATCAGTCGTAACCCACAGAGACCCTCTATTCTACACATTCCCTGCAGATGGGAGAGTGACGCTGTTGTGATTCTTGAAGGTGTAACCCTTTGACATTATTATATTATTACTCTCAAGTTCTTCGCATTAGTTTTTAACTCTGTTAAGTGGTTAGAATTTTTTGTACACTCCGTTCTAGCTATTATTTCTTTAGGTTTTCCATACCGGAGTAACTGAAATTTGTCCTCATTACACATCGTGTTATTTTCCCTTGGCCCAATGAAAAACTTAATTTACATCTGCTTGGTGATTTACTGTGTCCACAATGGATGACAGTCTCATGCAGATTCTAATATTGCCTGTGAAAGAAGACACAGTGCTGTTCATTACTGTCTGTGTCAGACAAGAGGATGCTCTTAGTCTAGCAAGCATCTAACATGTATTCCTAACAACATTCCCATACGAAAGTTTTTTTTGTGTGGTTTTGTTGAGGATGGCTTGATCTTTAAGCCTACATTCCCAGATGAAGGCGGAGGTATTAAATTGTGTGAAAATTTATATTACGTAGATACATTCCACTTCAGGAAAGCATGAGCTGGAAATGTGGACTGCTGTTCAGAAGAAACCAACTGGAACACCACTTTAGGTGCGAGTGTCATAACGTGAATACAAGTGTATAAGATCGTCATTGTTGGCGGGTTTTCTATACACAATGAAGTGAAAGTCGTCGTTTGTGGGATGACCGAAGGAAAGGGAATCTACCTTTAATTTCAAATTTCAGTGTAAACTTTATTGATTTTGTAACTTTGTTGACTTTTTTGAAGAGGCCATGAATACTGAAGCATCTGGGATAGAATGCCAGGATATCATTAACGTCTCCTAGCTGGGTAACACAGTGGGAATGAGGTCGCTGAATTTCTCAGTCTGCAAGTTGACCATGAAGAGGAAAGCAAGTAGAGTACTGAGGAGGCTTCCCATTGCCACCCAAAAGCTTTTTTAAACAGCGGTTATCTTTATACTTGAAGCTAAAGGTCCTCCAGAAGCAGTGTTATAACATCGACTGCCCTGCATGCCATCTAAAAGGGACCAGGAGGCACAGACCCCACAAGACAAACAATAGTAGCTACGACAACCCAACTCCAGGTGATTTTTTAGTGGCAGGAAACAGAAAAAGAAAATGGAAGGAAATAACAAAAATAGTCCACCACCTTGGAGCCTTGTTGGACTGGAGGCGCAGCCAGTGGCCACCCTCCAGAACTTCAACTACTGATGCCAATAACAAAATCCCCCCAACAAACACAGAATACAACCTCGTTCATATTTGCTAATATACAGGGCCTAAAGCCATCCACCAACAACAAAATACCTTTTATCAGTGGACTTCTAGAGGAGTCTAATGCAATGTTTGCAGCCTTCACAGAGACTCGCACAAAAGATCACTTTGACGGTGAAATATGGATAAGTGGTTACAACCTTTTTAGATGGGACAGAATGAACAGGCAACAAGGGTTGGCCTGTA